AGGCTTAAAGGGATAGTTCAACCAAAACGGAAAGATTCTGTCATCATTTACTCACCCTTTGCTTGTTCCAAACCGGTTTGACTTTCTTTCTTTTGATGAACACAAAAGAAGATCATTTGATGAAAGCTGGAAACCTGTAATCATTGACTTTCATTGTATTTGTTTTTCCTTTCTCGTTTCTTTTACTAAGGTTACATGTTTTAAGCTTTCTTTACAATATTTCTTTTTGTTTTACAGAAAAAAAGTCACTTGAGGGTGACTAAATAGTCAGTACATTTTTATTTTGGAGTATACTATCCCTTTAAATTGAAGGACCACTGTTTTACCACAGGGTGGCAATGTTACCTTAATTTCAAAATTTGCGAGAAGGGTCTGGATGCCGACCTGGTGCTTTGCAATCTGAGCTGCATCCAATGCTTTTTAATGCGCTCACCTAAAGTTCTCTTTATCACTTGTGTTTTTAGGTTCAGTAGACCTAAGCTACTGTGATGTGCTCTACCGAGACCTTTCAAAAGGGCTGGAGGGTTTACTCCTCAACAGTTTTCTTCACTTAGTGTATCTAGTTACTCCATATGACATGGTGCATCAGTGCAAACCGGATTGGATGATCTACTTCAGGCAGGTGGGACACTTTCATCAGGTTAAACCTGCTTTACTTATACCATATCTTTCAATTGTTTGAATCTGTTTTTCCACCTTTTGAATAAAGTCTCTTCGATTAAAAATAGTTTAAAAAAAAACATTTTGAAGTATGTGTTTTATTTTGTAGTGTTTTTCTTTTATTTTATGTTGCCAAAAGCTGAGTTTTCAACATCAGTACTTTAGTTTATCTTTCACATGTGATCTTTCAGAAATCATATCAGATATGATGTTTTAGTTCTCCAAAAAACATTTTGTATGATTAGCAATGATAAAAAAAAATTGTGGCAAGTAAAAAAAAAACAGCATTTATTTTATGCAAAAATATGTTGTAACATTATAATAATATGTAATTATAAAAACATTTTAGAACATTATAAATATATAGCATTTGTCACTTAAACATATATAAATTATTAATTTATTGATTACCACCTACAAGTTTGGTACTTTCGAGTGAGTATATGGTATAATAACATCTTTTTTTGTGTTATTTAGGTACCGTTATAGTTTCTTAAAATAATTTTTATTAGATTTTATTTCTATGCTTTACATTTTTATTTCAAATAGTTTGTTGTTGACTAAATGTTTAAAACTAAAATGTTCCTAAAAATGTATACTTTTTCTTATTTTTTAAAATTTTATATTAATTTAAATGAAAGCGTTCCCAGAGATGGGTTGCGGCTGGAAGGGCATCCACTGCGTAAAAACTTGCTGAATAAGTTGGCGGTTCCTTCCGCTGTGGCGATCCCAGATTAATAAAGGGACTAAGCCGACAAGAAAATGAATGAATGAATAAATGATAGAGAATTATGCTGTTTTTGCAGTCATTTTCTTTTTTTTTTTGTTCTTATGTTTTAGTGCTAATGTTAGTTACTGATCAATGTTTTATTCTGTAGTCTTAATTCTGTATTTATTTAATAAAAAATTTATATTATTATTATTATTTTTACTTTTTGTGTATTCCACTCTGTTTTGATGCTCTTGTTACTGCTTTGAGTCTGAGAAAAGCGCAATGTAAATAAAATGTATTAATACAAATGTTTCTTTTCATAGTTCACAAATTTGTCAGCTGCTGAGCAGAAGATGGCCACCACGGTCGGAGTTCCTGAAAGCTTTGTGGCCAGAAAGGCGGCAGGACAGAGCGTGAGGAAGGTTGGTGAAAACAGCATTCCTCTCATTCTTCACAACACCATACAAGTGATTCAGAGCATTTTTTGTTTGGGATTAAACAGCCTAGGTATGATAAGCCAACAAAAGCAATAGAAAGAGATCATTAGCTGAGTGTTTTTTAAACATTAGCCATGAATTAAATATGAAATTACTTCATCCTAATCCTCTTAAAGGATTTACAGGGCATTAATGCTAAATCTACTCTTAACCTTTCTCACGTTTCCGAAGGAAAAGAAAAGAATGGTTTTCAGTGAGTAGAGTTGAGTCATCAACTGAAGTGGATTTCATGATGTTTGTTTCTTTCTGTGTGTCAGTCTGTGGATGTTGTGGTAGTGAACAGGTTGTACCTGGCTCTGGTCCTGTTCTCCTTACTGAAGGAAACAAACCTGTGGATTGTGTCCGAACGATTCCAGCTGACCAGAGGTTTTGTTCAGACTCTTCTCAGCTCAGCGTCTGCCTTTGGATCATCTGTGCTGCACTTCACGGAGGTTGAGAGACACATTTTGTTAAAAGAATAGAAGACACATCAGCCTATATACAGTTGAAGACAATTATTTTATTACATTTGAAATATTTTCCAAAAATATTTCTCAAGTGATGCTTAAAGGCTAATTCAAACCACTCAAAGAAACACCTACAAACAAGTTGGTGGTTGTATAAAGAATATAAAATAGAAAATACTGTCAGAAGCAAAGGTTGTTGCTGTTTTTTCGGAAAATCATATCGCACTGCTCAGGCGTTCCTCAACCCAGAAAATGGCAATTTAACATGTTTAGTTGCGTGAAAACAAACTCTGTCCAATAACATCAGACACATAAAACCTATATATACTATTTTCTGTAGAAACCACTGTTGTCTAATGACTTGCCTAGTCAAACTAATTAACCTAATTAAGCCTTTAAATTGCGTAATTAAATACGTTAAATTAGTTATTATAAATAAGTTATTAAAACAATTATGTTTAAAACATGTTGAAAAAAAATTATGATTTTAATAATAATTTGTCTTCAACTGTATGTGTATCAGCTGTATTTTTTGTATGTGTTATAAATTTAATTGGATACTAAATCAAGTTTGTCTGGTCATTTCAGGAGCTGGAGGAGTTTTGGGCATACAAAGCTCTTCTCTCTGAGTTGACCCGAAGATTGACTTACTGTGTGCAGGCCGAGCTCATTCCTCTCATGGAGGTGTCTGGAGTCCTGGAGGTAAGTGTAGAGTATTTATGACCAGAATATTTGCTTGAATGTTATATTTGTGTGCTCATTTTGTTTTTTATTCTCTTTTGATTATAGCATCGTGCTAAGCAGCTGTACAGTGCCGGATACAAGACATTATCACATCTGGCCAATGCAGATCCACAAACTCTGGTCCAAACTATTGAAAACCTCTTTAAGAAACAAGCGTATCAAATTATTGCATCTGCAAAAGTAAGTATTGTATTGCATTATACCAAAGTCTCTTTAAGGCAAGTCATTTCACTCGCTGGCCATCTTTGAAATGCCTGTCTAAATAGGGAAACATCAAATTTACCGAAAGCAAGCTTATGATTGCATTTCATATTTGAAATCACCAATAAAATTAAACAACAACTGTCTTATAAGTTTCGTTTCTAAACATTAGAAACACACAAAATCGGCATACTTTCAGGTTGCCCAAGCTAATGCACATGCGCACTCGAAAGGAACGAGATCACGACACCAACCTTATTTATGGCCGTGTTACACATTATCATTATCTGAATAATGATCATCAGATTGCTCTTCTGCTCGTCTGACGTAATCCACAACTTGGTCTTGGTGGTGAATCTTCTCCAGAAATGTCAGCGACTATTTGTTTACAAGTTTGTGGGTGTTGAATAGTTGCTGTCATGTGATGTGCATTTGTCAGGATGGATTGTACCTCACGTTCATTTTATACAGATTACAAAACAAACAAACTTTTGTTTACTTCATTTAAAAGTAAAGATTTCAGGCTTTCTGTAGATACAGTTTTTATATCTGTGAAGCAAGTATTCGAGTGTGTTTGTTGACCACAAAACTGTAGTAAATCACACGTCTGATCCAAGCTTCTCTCCCAGAGAATCATCAGTCTGTAGCGATCGATGATTGGCTCCTGTACTAGTAGGTGGGGCTTCATTCGCCATATTGACCGTTACACTTTTCCCCATGTAATTACATACAACAAATTTTTTATCAAACCTAGCATTCTAATACTCTTTGCCATGGTACTTCTCGTTTACATCATGCTAAAAATTTTCAATTACACAGAACAACCCCCCACTGGAAAACAAAGCAGCTGTTATAATTTATCACCGTATAGCAAAATGTACATAACCATGAACACACAAAAATGTTACATGCTATTTTTTTTTACTCAGCCATTCTTGTTTCTTACGCAAATTAGCTATCTACAAATACTCAAATTTTGAGTACTATTGAATTAAAAACTTTATAGACGTTTACTTTTATTTAATAAACCAAATCTTCATGACGTTTTTTCCCTGTGGAACACAGAAATGAAATGAAATGAAATCAAAAGTGGTTTTCTTATTTCCCTTGCATTGAAATCAGATGCTGATATCAGGCCCTACAAAAGATGCAGACTTATTATAAAAGCATCATAAAGGCATTTGCTCACATGGTTGCTGTCACATGTCTCAAGATAAAGATAACAGAAGACAGTGTTTTATAAAAATGATTTGGTTTTGAATACTTTTTCAGGTGACAAGTTCACTGTCACTATATACAAAACACTGACCAGGCTTTCAGGAGCTTTCTCTTTTGTCACAATGCCAGTCTAACTGGATTGAGGGTGTTTTCCACACTTCTGTAATATGTTGCATTTCTCACTGTTCATTTTCAGATGTTATTAACAGAAAAAGCAGAAGCCCTGCAGGAGGAGGTGGACGACCTTCTTATGCTGCCATTGGATCTCCCATCATTGTAGATTATGTACATTTGTATTTAAGTGATGTAAATGGCCTGTATAATATCGAATCTACCTGTAATTATGTAAACTCAGCATTTCTGGCTGGAATAAAAGTGGAAGTAAACATGTAGCACTTGTTAGGTTAGTCATTATGTTATTTTGTACCATAAAGATTTTACAACCAAAGGTGGAGCAGACTTACAAACAACCTCTTTTATTATGAGTTCCAACCAATCAGCGCGCGTATGCTGATTAAGGAACCGTCCCGAAGCTACGCCCATCAACCGCTGCCGTGGGATGTTTTACAAAATATAGTCATAAACCAATTCCTTTTTCATCAGTCTATCTAGAAATGAGGAAGTATCTCAGCGTTGTCAAATTCGCCTGGGTGTTTCTGATGAAACTGCAGCAGTAAATGAGGAGGACACCGGCAGTCTGAACAGATGAAGTCCGCAGCCACAGCGCTTTCCACAATATTCGCTCTTCTTTTGTTTGACCCGGTTTACCTCGAGGCTAAAACAGTGATTTCTGTGGATGATGTTGGTCAGTTCGTACGTGTGGATGTGGATTTGTCCCGTGTTGCCCGACGGGTGGATGAAAGGTTTCTTTCCGTGGCTATTGATGCGAGTTTATTAACCGAGGAGAAGTTTATGAACCTACTGAAGTAAGTACTTTTAAAGGTTTGAGTGACGAAACATTGAAATAAGTAAATGACATTCTGTTTTATTGCAGTTCACCAAAGTTAAGAACCCTCGCCAAAGCTTTGACCCCAGCCTTTCTGAGATTTGGAGGCACCAAACAAGATTTTCTAAAATTCAGTCCACGCGGAAGATATTATTTACAAGGCAGAGAAAACGGCAGCAGCGCTTTTCAAGGTACTTTTTTATCATCAAAACATGACTTGTAAACCACATCCTCTGGCTGAGTAAGCTGTCTGTGTTGTGCTCTGTGCTGTCATCTGACTTTACCGGCATGATTCCAGTTTTTCTTTAATGGAGGAACAGTAAACTTATTCACACGACCATTCTGGACATTCCTTGCATACTACAGTGCCCCTGCATAACCTGTTGCATCTGCCGTTGATGGATTTGCTTGTGCTTAAAGGGATAGTTCACCCAAAACTGAAAATAAACTTGCAATGTACAGTGCTTACCCCTAGGGGTTCCAAACTAGTTTCTTTATTCTGTTGATCACAAAAATAGATATTTTAAACCAAGATTCACTGTAAAAGAGATTCACTGATATGAAGTAAGAGAATGTGTATATCTATCCAGGTATCTTTTTCTATTTTTAACCGGAACCTGCTGCTAAAACCAGTAGCATCCATAGTAAGAAAAACAAATACCAAGTCAATGGTTATAAACCTGTTTTAAATCTGTATATTAATGAGAAATGGGAAATGGAATGGGATGAATGTAGAAAAAACAAATTGTATGCAGTGAATCCATTTGTAAATAATTACTATTTTGAAAATAGACATGACCAGGTTATACATACGAGATGTGGAATAACACAGTACGTAGCTACAAACATACTGACACCCCATAATGAAAGAAGGAGAAAAAAATAAAGAATAAATAAATAAAATTAATTAGGAAATTAGAGATAAACTTTAACTTTGAATATAGTAGCCTCTGAGCATTCAATGTAGGATAGAAAAGGCTGCCAAACCTCATAAAACGTTTTGTAGAGCCTCGGATGATGTATTTAAGATGCTCAAGTTTAAGATGTGATAACACTTCTAATATCCAGTGTTTGTGGTATGGTGAGTTTGCTTTTTTCACCAGAGAAGAATCGGGCATTTGGCTAGTAATGAAGAGAAGGCAACGATTTCTACATGATTAGCTGATAGGTGCATTTCTTCCGGCACTTCACTAAAAATGTAATTCTAAGGATTAGGATCCATATCTTTTTTACATATATATGAATATGATCTAAAGATGTTGATTCAAAATTTATCTAATCTAGGGCATGCTCAGATCATATAACCCGGATCTGCTGGCTCCAAACCACATCGGGGGCAAGATTAATCTGATCAGTAAATGATACCTTTTGTTCAGCTATCCCTTTAAGCCTTCACTTTTCTAAAAATTCACTCGGGACACTAATAGTTTTAAAGCATAAAAAACCTAATACTCCTAAAATATTTTTAGAGAGATTTAATGAAAAGTATTGTATTTAGATGCTTTACTGTTTTACTTCAATGTGTATTTGTTTGAGTGTAATTGTAATGTTATTTTTATTTATTGTTTTTATATAATTTACTATTTTTACAACAGTTTTTTTCTTGTATCTTAATGGTGTGCATGTGTATTTTATTCATATTTTTCATTTTATTCATATTAAAGCATAAAGTAATAAGCATAAATTAATTCCGGTTAAAGCAGGAATGGGTCTTCAGGCTGTTGAGCTTATTTCAAGGTTCTGCATGTTAACCCTAAGGCTATGTTCTTTCTGTATTGTCAAGTTAAGCCTGAATTAAAAAAAATAAATGATAAACTTTTCTGTGAATGGATTGGTGTAAAATAATCATACATTTTCTATATAATGTCATGTATCAATTGCATTTAATATTATGGCTTTCATGACTTTTTGTTAAATTAAAAATTATCAATTCAATTTAACAAAAGACAGAAAATGGCCCTATAAAATATTGTTTTAATTTCCTCATTTCATGAATGTTTGTATGTATTTAATTATTAATACTTTTTTCATGCATTTATATTTATGTATGCTTTTTATTTATTTATCAATGCTTTTAATGTTTTATTCATTCAGTCAGTCACATCTAATATTATTTCATCAGGAAATGTATGTATGAGACTTGAATTGCCTCCACTGCTGGAAAACCGGTTAAAGCAGGAATGGGTCCAACAGTCAAAATCTTTACTTCTGAAGGAACTGGACGGAAAATACCGCAACACCAAATTCTCTGGTCAGTTTAATTCTGTTCCACTTCTGTTTAGGAAGTTTTTTTATGAGTGAGTAAGCGAAACATTGTTCTGTTACAGGAATATAAATTCATGCCAGATCAAGTCCTGCTGACACATAACTTGATTTATTTGCAGTTTGGAAAAATTGGGAATTTAATTAGAACATTTTGCAGGTCTGACAAAGTGTGGAATAAATAAAGCAGATTTTTTCTCACGTAATTGTTCGTATTTTTTTATAGAAAATTAAAAATGTCTAAATAAAAATAAATCTGTGATAATGTAGCCTAGCAATGGCAGTGCAGGTCAGACATACTTGAAGCCAATAACATTCTTAAGTTTAAAGGAGTTTTTATGGGTTTAGTTTATCCAGGTATGAAAATAGTGTCATAATTGTTTTTCACCTCTTTGTTGTTCCAAACCCATAATTAAAGTAAATCTTATGAACACAATAAGAGTTTTTTATGACATCTGAGGGATTTCAGTTCTTTATAATAAATAAAATTTAGAAAATATTTTATTTATTTTAATAAACTTAGGGTAAGTAAATTATGACAGAAATTTCAATTTTGGTAAACTCATCCTTTAATTTGTTTATTAAAAAAATGCATTATTTTAATGTAAGACTTAAATATTTTATTCCTAATTGTTTGCTAAACAGTGTTCATGAGTATGCTTTAACAAACAGCCAATGATGATTTTAGCCAGTTAATTTATACCTGAATATCCCTTTTTTCCAGACTCGTGGTTATTTTTTACATGACAAAAATAAATAACATGCCGTTTAATCACTGCAGTTTTAATAAAATGCTGTACTTTGAACCTGACAGTTTTTGCTGTTGAGTTGTATGAGCGTGTAAAGCTACAATTTGCCAATATAATAGTGTAATATACATAGAGATTCTGACTCAAGATGCAACATACAGTACTTGTTATTATTAGCTTATGCTTAAAACCATTCATCATATCATTTTTAATAACAAAATCCCTATTCTGTTTTGGCATATTAACTTGTAAATTAAATAAAGCTTATTATTGAGTGCTATAGATTGAAAAATTATCTGATACTTATGGTAAAAATCACTGTACTATCACGAAATACTTACTGATTTAAATCACAATCTGAATTTCATCTTACAGTTAAGGCCATTTGAGTATTGCAGAACGAAAAGTTTTGTCTCAAAGTATAGGAATTTATGGAAACCCTAAAATAAAAAAGATAATAGAAGATGGGAAAAAATTAACAGCAGTTCTAAATAAATCTATTTCTAAGGTCACTTGGTATCACTTTGGGAGTTGCTCTTCAGTATTTTGGCTTTTCGCAGTGAAATTTACAGTATTAAATCTATGTTGAGCTGCATTGATACAATCTACATTGTAAAAAGTGCTATAGAAGTAGGGATGAATTTAACTAATAAATTTGCCATTTTTGTTTGCAAAGTTAATAAAAAGTCTCATGTCTGTCTTTTTCACAGAAGATTCTGTGGACTTGCTGTACTCTTTTGCAAACTGCTCTGGTTTGGAGCTCATCTTTGGGTTGAATGCTTTGCTGCGAACAAGCAGAAACTGTTGGGACAGTGGGAATGCAAAACTGCTGCTCAAATACTGTGAGTCCAGGCAGTATATGATGTCCTGGGAGCTGGGCAATGGTAGGATTGAAAAAGACTTGTTTAGATTTTTTTTTTTTAGCTTGTGCATGTGCTAATGCCCCCGTTTTTATGAGGTGCCGTATAGGATTTAAATCAAACTTTGCTTATCAACACATACATAAAACACATGTATATACACCTATAAATTACTCACATATACACCTATACTACTGGATGTTCAAAACAACATGGATGAAACTTGTGTATATACATATAAACTTGACGCATGAATACACCCACATACACACGCACATACATATAAACTCGATCCACACATAAACACCCACATTAACACACGCACATACATATAAACTTGCTGCATATACTTTTTAAATTAGGGTCTTGTTCTATTAGTTTTATTCTTTCCCATATTACATTTAAATTCTTCCCACCATATACTGTTCATTCTGTTTTAATTTGATAATTGAGTATTGGTAATTATTTACTTTTTGTATTTATTTTATTTACCTAATTTTATTTAATTAGTATTTATTTTTATTATTTATCTATTTGAACACTGTGATACAACATTAAACAAACTTAAGCTACGCTTACTCTGCTTTTTTGTTTATTGCATTAGTCATTATGGAAATGATTTGTCTGGGTCATTTGTTTTTTTGTACTAATTTATTTAATCAGTTTATTTTAATTAATCCTTTTAAACATATTTATTTACATAGTTTTGTTTATTATTTATTTTTTATTATTTATTTGAATGCTGCAATACAACATTAAACAAACCTAAGCTACGTTTACTCTGCCTTTTTGTTTATTGCATTAGTCATTACAGAAATTATCTGTCTGCATCATTTGTTTTCTTTTCTTTTTGTACTATTTTATTTATTCAGTTTATTTTATTTAGAAATCCTTTCTAAAACTATACACTTTCATCTGCGTTTATATGTCATTGCAGTTTTTCTATTTTGACCAGTTTATCTAACACAGTCCTTCATCTCATGTTAGAACCCAACAGTTATGAGAAGAAAGCAGGGGTCAGAGTGGATGGATTTCAACTTGGTCGGGATTTCATGCATTTGCATCAAATCCTTCAGGAATCCACAATCTACAACTCAACAGGACTTTATGGACCAGATGTTAGTCAACCAAAAGATCACCGCAAGGATTTGTTAACTGGGTAAACACTTATTATAACAATATTTTAAAAGTCACACCTTGCCTTACTAATGCATTTGTCGAGTTGAAAGTTAATTTGAATAAATATTTATTCACTTACAGATTTTTGGAGACTGGAGGAAAGGTCATTAATGCATGCACTTGGCATCAGTAAGTTATGATTTTCTTTTCATGCAAATTTTATCTTTATAATTCATTAAGTTGATCATGTTTTTCCTCTTGAACAGCTATTATGTTAACGGTCGAGACACATCTTTAGAGGATTTTCTTGACCCTGAAGTGCTCGATTCTCTGGCAACAAAAATTAACGAGGTCCTCGAGGTACTGGAGTAATTCTGCATAATGTATTAAAACTGAAGCTCTCCTGTGACGTTCAGCAAAGAGAGACATATGAGACAAATGAAGTGAATTAACTGGTAAACTGTGCTCTCAGATGGTTGAAGCTGTTTCCCCGGGGAAGAAGGTTTGGCTGGGAGAGACCAGTTCAGCATATGGTGGAGGTGCCGTTGGTCTCTCTGACACATTTGTGGCGGGTTTTATGTGAGGATGTTTATTCATCTCATACCAATTAAGATGAATGTTTGCAAGATTGTGAGGAAAAGGATAACTATGAAATATAGAAAACAAATAAATAAATGACAGTTCTGGTGTAATCACATAAGTTACCATCTGTTCTAATGCAAAATCCATTTATGTTTAAGGAATGCTAATTTAGCGTGGATTTAACAGTTTGAATATTAACAAGCTTCTGTTAACATTGGTCCAGTCATTTTAATATGCTGATTTGATTCTTATGAAGCGTTTCATTATTTATTGCCATTTTCCCAATGCATGTTTTCAGAGGTTTTTGATGAATATAAAATGTATACAAAGCTTTTCTAGCAATATTTTACTGTCACTTTAAATAAATTCATCCTTTTTGAATAAAACCTCAAATCAAAAAAATCTATAAACATCATCTCCCCATATATATTTATTATTAATATTTGGTGTAATAATTTTAATGAGTGTATTATTGTTTTTATTTATTAAAGGTGGCTGGACAAACTGGGGCTTGCTGCTAAGCTTGGTTTGAATCTTGTTATCAGACAGGTTTTAATTGGTGCTGGCACATACCATTTAGTGGATGATAACCTCGATCCTCTTCCAGTAAGTATGAATCACTCAGTATATGTATATTAGTCCAGACTTTTATTTTATTTTATTCATTTGTGTTTGAATTAATTTTTACTTTTGATAAAGAAATCGTCTATGGGGTCTTAAAATCTCTTACATTTCAAAAAACATATTTTTAGGCTTTAAAATATCTACTGAAATATTGTCTTGTAGGTCTTAAATCGTTTTAAAAAGGTCTTATATACGTCTGAAATTTTGTTCTTAATGGTCTTAAAAAGTATAAAATTTGACTTTGTGAAACCTGCAGAGACCATTAATTTTACATGTATTCATTTTTTGGGTTTTCTTTTTAATATATATGTATTGCTTTTCATAACATTACATTCCTAAATCAGGATTACTGGCTGTCGTTGCTCTTCAAAAGGCTTGTTGGTCAAGAGGTCTTAAAAGCAGACGTTACTGTCAATTCAGGACTAAAGAAACCAATACGGGTTTACCTTCACTGCACAAACAAAAAGAGGTACTTTTATTGTCTTGTTCACAATTATTTTAAAATATTTTGTTTTATTTAAAGGATATTTTATTTAAGATATTTAACAAAACGGTACAATAACAATAATAAAAGAAAAAAAAAGCACAGAATAATTGACCCCCCCTCACAAAAGGAAAAAAAGGAGGGGTTGTTTTTTTAGGTTATGTATATATACTAGGGCTGCAAGGGTTCAATCTACTCGGGGTTGGGTATGCATCACAGTTTTACGGTCACCGTTTTGCTGTATGTCTTTAACTTGCCATACTGAAACACACAAAAACTCCACCCACACAGCTACACGTGAGGAAACGAGATGTCACCAACAGATTTAAATACTAAGAAGTGACTGAACAGGTCTTCACATGCGCAGTGCACGTAAAACGTAAATAGAAGAATACAAAAGCAGAACTTTTTTGCTTTGTTGCAGTTGTTTTTATCACCAAACCAATATTAGTAATGCATATTCTGAATCACAGAATGATCACAGGGTGATCTAAACCATGGTAGGACAACCGTACAGAGAACCGTTGCATTCTTTAAATATATAACAACATATGTAGCATGAACACATGATGATTATATATGTTTGAAATAAAGATGAGGATTTACAGACTTAAAATGCTAAATTCCCTAAAGTCTTAAGATTCTCATGTGGTTTCAACTTTTTTCTTTGAAGTTTCAAGACGTACAGTAGTTGTTCCATTTGAATGACATAAAGCAACTTGTTCAACCATCTATTATAACAGGGAGCCTTCCAATTTCCAATTAGGTAAAATCATCTTTTTAGCTGTAATCATGCCAACCATCAGGGCCAGGCCCGGATTGGCTAATCTGGAGGACCGGGAGAATTCCCGGTGGGCCGGTCCGTTTTTTGCCCGCGAGGGCCGGTGTCCCTAGTTCCAGAATCGGTTGCTCTCAGCAGTCACACTTTTTAAAAATAATTTATTTATTTACTTGACCACAGCCTTCTTATTCATTATTTTACCGCAGCTCTGCTCTTTTTATCTATTTTCTCGTAGCCTCGTGAGCAGGATGCAGGTTAATGATGATATAACTAGATAAGTCACCATTCAACGTACAGCTGTTGTGGTACATTGGTTAGTACGTTAGATTATGACGCGGCCAACCTGGGATCGGTCCTTGTCTGAGTAACAATTTTTTTTTTTTTCATTTTTATTGTCAAGACATAATACTGTAAGGGTTGTTGAACATTTGAAGTTCTAAAAGAGCTGTTTTCTCAAAAAAAGACGTGATAGTGTAATTAGAAACTGAATTGGAAATAACCTTATTTTAATATAGTCAGTGGTGAACTGAGGTGGGCCAGTCTGAGGCTTGAAACTCCAGGGCTGAAAAAGAGTCCCACTCCGGCCCTGATCAGGGCTTGCTGTAGGGTTAATGGAAAGATGTCCATTATAGTAGAATATACAAAAATAGCCAAATTGTAGTCAGGTTGGATATTGGTTCCATAGAAAACTATTTAAAAATGTTGGACCAAAACTCAAAAACAAAAAGAACAGTTTCTTCTGCCACACCACATCTGTCACATTTAGGAGATACAGGGCAGAGGGAAATATTTTACTTAATCTGGTTTTAGAGAAATTAAGGCTCACAATTATTTTAAACCGAATAAAACAAAGCCTAACTTATTTTTGACATGGCATTTGTTTTTTCTTTTCCAGTACACAATACAAAGAAGGAGCTGTGACCTTATTTGCCTTAAACCTGAACAAAAATGAAGCCACGATTAATCTTCCAGCTCATTTGACCAACGGCTCCATTGAAGCGTTTGTGCTGCAGTCAGATGAGGCTGGCGAACAAGGCCTTTATTCCAGGTAACGGCTCATAATCTTCAATGTGTGGAATGTTGTCCTGAAAATCTGTTTCCTAGCACAGTACAATCCTCTTTTCAGGTGTCACATGCTTTAATGCACTTACAGGGGTAGTCAAACCAAAAAGTGAAAATTCTGTTATCATTTATTCATCCTACACTTGTTTAAAAGCTATTTGAGATTCTTTCTTCTGTTGAACTCAAAAGCAGATATTTTGGAGAATGTTGGAAACCAGCAGCCATTGACATCCAAAGTAGGAACAAAAATATGTACGTCAATGGCTGTTGCTTTACAACATTCTTGAAAATATCTACTTTTATATTCAACAAAAGAAAGAAACTCAAACAGGTTTGGGACACGTGTGGGATGAGTAACTATAACAGAATTGTGATAGAATTATTATCCCTTAGTACACTGTATGACCTCATATTATTAAAAAGACTACACATAATATTGTTTTTGTATTCATTTTAATGGGTCATTTCTAATTTGTCAGTTGAAACCCTTTTTTAATTAGCAGATTTCTTGCTTAAATTATAAACATAAAGGCCGAAAAACAAGTTATACCCAATCTGTCACATGCCATCTGTTACATTATTTATAGATTTCAAATTTATTTACAAGTAAAGGTTTTTTAGTATCCTTAAAATTATTTTAGGCACATTAATGGGTCAAATCGGATGAAGGTTTATTTATAATGCGCTTTTTAAAAACAACAAGTGCTTACCAATGTGCTGTACGCACAATTAAATAAAGCAAATTAATTGGTGAGATTTGGATGGTATACACAAGAAAGAGAACAGTTTCAAATGTTTGTTTAAAGATTCAATAAACTGTTGCCTTTAAAAAAAAAAAGGATAACTTCATATGATGATGATGATCATGATGTAGCCTTTATTTGTCAATTACACTTTTACATGTAGCAAAATTGGACCCCCCGACCATACACAAATATCACACATTTCAGGGGAAGACAGATCAGACGAGAGGTAGCTTTTAGAAAAAAGAAATAAAATACATTTGGCAAGAACAAGGCATAAATAAGTTCTGTCAGACTGTCCTCGAAAAAGCACCCAGCACATAAGCATATAAACACATAAACACATAGACATAACATCGCAACAGGGGATGTCTGATAAAGGCGGCAGTCATCTGGTCTGCAACCAATGGCCCTGGTCACAGACCCTCCTACTCACCAGTGTTGCCAGATTGAATTAGATTTTTATGGGTAAAAAATGGCATAGGGGGGGTTGACAAAATTCGGGCGGTTTTGCAACGTAATTTTTAAATGCAACTTGTTTAACAAAGCATAACTGTGCTCCTGCTCCATGCAGTTAGTAAAGACCAGTGCATAGCGCAAACCATGTGGACCGTCCTGCAAGAGATGAAGGAAAGTTGAATCAAAATGTGACTCCCTGGACAATTCTGACTCCACTTCGCATGCACGTGCATCATGCAGTGCCTGCAGTTAAACTCACAGAGGTTTACCATGACACTTTTTTTCAAAAATTTTTTGACCGCAAGAACAAACATAGAATTCTGACTCCATCTTAACATTAACAAGCAGCGCTTAATTATGTTCAAAAGAATTTAAAATGGCACATGGGACAAATTTATACCCCATTTCCAAAGTAAAACATTCTCTATGTATTGTAATCTACACAACAATAAGTGCAGTGTGTGGGTGAAAAGGGACAGTGTTTTGATTTTATTCGTTAATGTTGTGGTTTTGTGACTGCTGGTGTTGGTTGCTCTATGGTTAAAAGTTATGTCAGTTAAAGTAACAAGGTTAATTTTGATTGAAATAAAATAAAAATTAATCTAATATTTTCGTGTGTTTGGGTGGGTTTTAGACCGCTTTGTGCTGGAAAAAGTCAGCTATATATGGCAACACTGCTACCCATACCGGAGGGTGAAAGCACACAATGTTGTAGGATTCAGGGTTGGGGTGCTGGATATGTGATAGATGGGTGGGAGAAGTGGCGCGTCGTGTGTCTGGCTGCTCTGTCCCTGAAGAATATGGAAGAAATCTGTCTATCTATTCGGAACTTTGATAACAGGGTTTCTGCTGATGGGTTTATGTGGTTCACTTGGGTATCGACGATTGATAAAAACAGTCAGTGCGGCTCAAAACCCCACAAAGCTTGCTGGCTGGATTGAAACGGTAGTGAGCAGGGTCATTACAAACCAAACTGTGGCCTGGATCGCAAATTGGAAAACATTAGGGTGAAACTAGCGGCTTTGCAACAAAATTTTTTTTTTATATAATTATTTTTTAGGGGTTTTCACCTTTATTGATAGGACAGTGGAGATATAGAGACAGGAAAGTGTGGGGAGCAGAGATAGAAGAAGGATCAGCAAAGGACCTCGAGACGGGAATCGAACTCGAGTCGTTGCGAGCACCTCGGTGCTGTGTGTCAATGCACTAACCACTAGGCTATTGTCGCCGACGGCTTTGCAACAACATTTGGTCAGACCTGTGACGGACAATAAATATCTGTGAAATTGGCAGACATTGACCCAAATTTAAAAACTTTTCTTTTCGGCTTCAATGTGACTCTTCTGCCAGACGGCCTCGGTTGGAGACAAACAACTTCCCCCGAATAGCAAGATAAGGAGACTCTCTAAAATTCGCTGTTCCAAGGACACCTGTTGAGACTCTACAGGCCTACACACATACACAGCTACAGATAGACAATCACCACCTTACCCCGCACCCCTTTGTGTGCTTTCACCCACCAGTGTGCGTAGGCGGGTCTGTGACCAGCGCTCTCTAGTGGCAGGTCCTAGCCGCCCTAATTGGACTATATCCACATTCCCTGTTGCGATGTCATTTCTATGTGTTTATGTGCTGGTTGCGATCTCACACTGCCCTACTTCATGGACAGTCTGAGGGACTTTTTTCACCTCTCTCTTCCCAAATGTATCTTTTTTTTTCTCTTTCTAAAAGATACCTCATCTGACCTGTAAAAGTGTATGTGACAAAAAAAGGCTGCTTCATCATTATCATCATCATCATCATTCCTTCTAAATATTTGTATTGAGTATTCAGGATTGCAATGTAAGCATAGCTTGAACTCTTAATCTCAATTGAATGCACAGGTTTTATGCACATTTAAAAGTTGTCTGTAGATGTGTATTCAGTTGAGATTAATAGTTTAAGTTATGTTTACATTGCATTCCTGAATACTCAATACAAATATTTGGAAGGGACTGTGAATTCAGTTCAGATTAATATCTTTTAGTTAGAAAACTGGAAATGTAACACATTTGTCAAACGAATTGCTTAACTGTTTGTTTGATTAATTTATTTCCATTCAGTCACCTTTGTTTTTAGTTTTTTTGCCCAAATAAATAAAACTACAGCAGTTTCAATGAGAATAGTAACTTTTATTAATAATTTGCAGCAGTTTACCTCAAAATAACAATTCAGTTCTATTAAACAATGAGAATAGTAAGCTTTATTAGTAATTTACCCTAATTTTCCACAAATTAACAATTCAGTTTTCTTAAACATGGGATGGAAACAATACTTTATTTGCTAATTATTTATGTCATTTTGTTCTATATTAAATTTGCAACTTTGTATGTAAACCTTGCTAGAAATTGGTTACAATATATTCACTATTCCATTATTTATTCATATAGACCATTTGAATGTGGTGTGGTTTATTAATAAACTAATTTGGAGAGGATCACATGCTTATTATTGAACACGGCTGGTACCTCATCAGCTCTGTATATTGCACCAATCAGGTTAATACTGACTCACGATAAATAACCAGAGTTTTCCACTCCAGTCATCTTCGTCTGGAAGAATCCTCTCTTCCACCCTACTCCTCTCCTTCTCCTGAGGGGAAGTGGTTAGCTCAGCCCAGTGGTTAACACTGTTGCCTAACAGCAAAAACGCCACTGTTTCCACCCCTCATCGAGCCAGTCGATGTTTCTGTGGGGAGTTTACATGTTCTCCCCGTGCTCGTGTGGGTTTTTCCTGGGTTTCCCAATTTCCTCCCATAGTACAAAGGCATACACCATTAGTAAGTTGACTACTTCAAAGTAGCATGTTAAGGCAAACTCAGCTAGCTAAATCTCAGCACATTCACAAGCAGGGGAGTTCTCGAAACCTACCTGAGCTTACACGCCCCTCTCGCCCTTCAAACGGGAAGGAGCCCCAGGCTTGAGAATATTATGAGCTCAGGGCTCTCTCCTGGGACAGCATGCTAAACATGCTTTATTATTATTAAGCATCAGCTAAGTGTGAACTCTTGAAGTGATGTCATTGGCTCATGAACCTTTCTTGCTTTTTGTCAAACTATTTCATAACTGAAACAAAAGGCAATTCGATTATAACTCAGTGTTAAACCAGTTATCGTAACATTATCAATATGTGGCTGTTTTTAGATTCTCCGAAGCTATAGAAAATAAAATTGTAAAACAGGAAATATGGTGGGACCATTGTTTTTGTTGACATCTCTCAAAATGGTCCATATTTAATCCCCAAATACCTCTCATCAACTATCATAGGAAGAACCTCAAGGGTCTTAAATCACTCATTTTATCTGTCTCCAGGTCAGTTCGTCTGAATGGAGAGCTGTTGAAGATGGTGGATGATCGAACTCTTCCTCCGCTGACAGGACGTGAGCTGCCGTCTGATGAACCCATCAAGCTGCCCGCCTTCTCATTTGCATTCTACGTTCTGATTAATGCACAAGCTGCAGTATGCAAATGAGCTCTTACAAAAGACTGCTTTCACCGGAGCATCAGGGAGTAAATATTTTGGCTGTAAGATTATTTAATGTGAGGGAACACTTAAAACTTGAATCAAATGAATACGTCTATTAATATGAAATCAACTTTTTTATTATTTATAAAAAATTATATTTATTATTCTGAATATCAAGAATAACCTCTGAAGAACGTGTTTAATACTTCATGCACAACACTGGTGGATATAATCCATTTTATATCTGTTTAAATAAACAGATTTAAAACAAAGTTCTCGTTAGTCTGAACTTTTATTTCTTCTTCTTTTTTTTGGACGTTTCCGAGTGATTCATTATTATTATCAGTGCAGGCCGGCTGTAGCAATCAAGCCGTTTGATTCTCAGCCATTTTCTAGCTTTGTGATTCGCATCTGTGTGTTCAAGTGCTGCATTCAGCTACATTTAGACATTTAAGCTCAGACATAAGAGGTCTACATTTAAGTGCACTTTCTACTTTCTTTGCACTTACTTTGAGAGTATATGGCAGAGCGCTCAAACATCTGGGGTGCTTGATTTGTGAACAGCTGAATTAAATATTGCTAGACTTAACGCTAATAATCTTTTGAATTTGTTTACTTTTGAATTTCATGCTAGTATATGGCAAGTTTATAATACAATCATTTAGCATTCTAAATGACTGAAAGCGCTTTGCATGAACATACACACCACCAACATATACAGGGGGGATGAATAGGCAGTGCTTATTGCCTATATAACTTTTAGTGTAAATGGATTCATGGTAAAAACTCTTTTAGAATATGACAGTAAGTAGAAATTCATATTTCCAGTGCCAATAAAACAGGCATCAGCCAGAAAACAGAAATATAAACTTCATTACCAATTTTATTATTAATTAAACCAATAGTTAATGCTGTGGTAGTTACTACGCTTCCTGTAGAATCATCTCCAAGAGAGAAGCTGTTAATATTAAAAGGAAATTCACACCAAAAAAAAAAAAGTTGTCCGCTAAGGGGATGTTAAAAGTGTGTAAAGATTTTCAAGTAATAGGAAATATCTGGAGTTTCATGTTTTTGCTGCCTGATCTGTGACTCAAAGTCCCGCAGTGTGTTGGTTTGGCCAGCAGGCAGCGATATTCACCGCTGTTCATAACATTTTGCAGTGGGCGAGTGAAACTGCACTTAGGTAGATTTTTGTTGAGGTTTTCGGTTGATATATATTAAACCTTTTATTTGCTATAGCCCTGTTGGTTGAAGATTTTATTAGTCAATAGTTGTGAATACTATTTCATAAAAATTGAAAATGCATTTAATTATATAAAATACTTTTAATTAAATTATGACAAAATATTAAAACGATGACCTTTTATTTCATAATTTCAAAATTTCATCATAATTTATGGAGTTTTTTTTTCTAAAATCACATGTTGAGTCTCTATGAGATCCTCAGCTTTTCCGTAATCTAAATATTGTCAAAAACACTGTACTTAATTTTTTGTATCACTTCGTCATAAAACTTGTCATAATTTCATATTTTTTCTTTTTATTTATTTATTTATTTTTTCCTTTTTTATACATTATTTTCTGTCTTAATTATTTTTTTTATTAATTGACAATGCTATGTTATGACTTTCTAATTCCTATTTTAACAATTATTTTACAGTTTAATCTCATTATTTGACCTTTTTATGTCAATTGTTTCTTTATTCCATTTTTATTTCTCATAATTGACATTATATGACATAATTTTGACGGTATCATAATTTTATATTGCATAATTTTAACTTTTTAGCAAACTGCTTCACCAAGAAAAAAAAATTGCTAATGAAAAAAAAAACTCTTAACAAAAAAACTCTTAACACACTCAATGCATTCTTTTTCAAGGCATCCCATCATTTCTAAAATATCAACCTCTACCAAATGGTTATTATATGTCAGCTTATGGTAAAAGTACTGGAATTAATACATTTACTATGTATTACTATGAAAAAAATTAAATGTAAAACTAATTTATTTTAGAAACATTATCAAAATAAAACATTTTTAAATACTAAATCAGCTTTATTTTTTGAAGTATGCCCCAAAATATTTCATATTCTCATTTAACATGCTTTCTTATTTTTCTTTCTTTTTTTTCAAATAAAACCAAAATCAAGTGTAGTAGAGCAACAGGATTATGTTTATTTGATTGCTTTGTAAAGCAATAACGCTGTGTGTAAACCATTATTTGAAATGGTTATGTGATTATGTGATTCTTTATAATTACCAGTCATTATTGGTCAACCATTTGTTTGGTTAAACAGGCAGTTATTTGTATTCAGTTTGATTGATGTAAATCAAGTTAACCAGACTTGTATAATATTGCCATATAAAGTTTTAAAGATTTAAAGTGAATCACAATCTTTTATCAAAGTTGTCCTAAAAGTATAAAACGACCATTTTTTGACAATTCTGAAAATCATTTTGATCTATTTCAGATGTTGACCACTATATCATTTGCCAAAGCATGTAACACTTTGGATATACTTTTAATTTGTATAAACAAACTTAACAGTCTGTCAAAAATCAATAATTTTCATACTTGTTTACAGAGTGTGGGCTGGGTCTTAAAATGTCTTGAATATCAAAACCTAAATTCTAGGCCTTAAAAAGTCTTAAATGTACTTGCATATTGTGTTGTAGTTCTTAAATTGTTTCAAACAGGTCTTACTTTTACTTTGTCCAAGTAAAGCTACTCAATTTAATCCGATATCCATCTAATGACCAACAACGCATCTCAATAAAACCTTTTTATATTTATTTAGGTTTTTTAGAGCAAAGAGATACAATTCACAACAGCTGTTGGACATTTTTACAGTAAATACCCCAAATGAAATTCTCTTATCAGAAAAAAAAAAAAAAAAAACTTAAAGCAATTACACAATTCCTCATGATAATACTGGGCTACTCGAAAAAAATCTTAACCCTGTAAAAGTCTAAAATTTCATTCTTTATGGTGTTAAAAGTTTCTTAAAAAGTCTAAAATATCACTTGATTTAACCTACAGACACTCTGTACTTAACAATGTATATTTGTTATTTATCAGTGTTATTCTTAATTATATTAGTTGCGCAATTCTAAAAATTAACAGTAATAGTGCAGTCAGTCAGTACCATGTTCACAGTTTTTTGAACGCTCAGTTTTTCTGGACGGTGATGGCCGTGAGCAGTGAGTCCTGCGGTGACAGATGCTGAAGGGCTCGCTGTTTACAGTGGCACTTTTTAAGACGCAGCTTGTGTGATGAGGAGAGCACAATCTGGCAACCCCTGCCAACCACACAACATCTCCATCTCCCAGGAGAAATCCCACGATCCCTCATTCCAGCAGCTTCATTACAGCCACTGTCTCTGATCATAAGGAGATTCAGAGATTTTGGCTTCCCTTCCAGCTGATTGTACTCATCTGAATCTGTCAATCGAGACATTTTACTGTTTGTTTTTATGTCAAGGACACATAAATATGATGCTGGGTTTTCATATTTTTTTTCATGTATTTGTTTAATGACAAGGGGCATGACGGTGGCACAGTGGGTAGCACAATCGCCTCACAGCACTGGTTCCAACCCCACCAGGATCAGTTGGCATTTCTGTGTGGAGTTTGCATGTTCTTCCTGTGTGCACGTGGGTTTACTCTGGGTGCTCTGGTTTCCCCCACAAGTCAAAAGACATGCTTTTGATGAACTAGGTAAGCTAAATTGTATCGTATGTGTATGTGTGTGAATGAGTGTGTATGGGTGTTTCCCAGTGATAAGTTGCAGCTGGAAGGGCATTTGCTGCTTAAAGCAAATGCTGGATAAGTTGGTGATTCATTCTGCTGTGGGGACCCCAGATTAATAAAGGGACTAAGCCGAAAATAAAATAAATGAATGTTGTTTATATATATATATATATATATATATATATATATATATATATATATATATATATATATATATATATAAATTTATATGGGTGCTATAGGTGAATTGAATAAAGTAAATTGCCATATGTGCTGTAGGTGAGTTTAATAAACTAAATTGCTATAGGTGAATTGAATAAAGTAAATTGCCATAGACGCTATAGGTAAATTGAATAAACTAAATCGCTATGTGTGCTATAGGTGAATTGAATAAACTAAATTGTCATAGGCGCTATAGGTGAATTGAATAAACTAAATTGCTATAGGTGAATTGAATAAACTAAATTTCTATAGGTGAAATGAATAAAATAAATTGCTATAGGTCAATTGACATAACTAAATTGCTGTAGGTGAATTGAATAAACTAAATTGCTATAGGTGCTATATATGAATTGAATAAACTAAGTTGCTATTGGTGAAATGAATAAACTAGATTTCTATAGGTGCTATTGGTGAATTGAATAAACTAAATTGCTATAGGGGAATTGAATAAACTAAATTGCTATTGGTGAATTGAATATACTAAATTGTTATAAGTAAATTGAATAAAGTAAATTGCCATAGGTGCTTTTGGTGAATTGAAAAAAGTAAATGGCTATAGGTGAATTGAATAAGCTAAATTATTATAGGTGAATTGAATAAACTAAATTGCTATAGCTGAATTGAATAAACTAAATTGCTATAGCTGAATTGAATAAACTAAATTGCTAAAGGTGCTATAGGTGAATTGAATAAACTAAATTATTATAGGTGAATTGAATAAACTAAATTGCTATAGCTGAATTGAATAAACTAAATTGCTAAAGGTGCTATAGGTGAATTGAATAAACTAAATTGCTATTGTTGAATGGAATAAACTAAATTGCTATGGGTGAATTGAATAAACTAAATTGCTATAGGTGTTATATGTGATTTGAATAAACTAAATTGCCATAGGTGCCCTAGGTGAATTGAAAAAACTAAATTGCTATAGGAGAATTGAACAAACTAAATTGCTATAGGTGCTATAGGTGAATTGAATAAACTAAATTGCTATTGTTGAATGGAATAAACTAAATTGCTATGGGTGAATTGAATAAACTAAATTGCCATAGGTGCCCTAGGTGAGTTGAAAAAACTAAATTGCTATAGGAGAATTGAATAAACTAAATTGCTATAGGTGCTATAGGTAATGTTTCCTGAAGATATTTTGAATAATTGTGATTAATCGTAAACATTGTAGACAAATGAGACATTAAAATGGGGAGTGCAGTGGGTAGTTAATTTTCATAATTGTTATATTCACATAGTCGTTTATTCATTCATTCATTGATTCATGAACCGCCAACTTATCCAGCATATTTTTTACACAAGTGATGCCCTTCCTGCTGCAACCCATAGCTGAGAAACACCCATTCACATTCACACATACACTCATTCACACATATACACTACAGCCAATTTAGTTTATTCAATTCACCTATAGTGCATGCGTTTGGACTATGGCGAAAATCAGATACCAATGTGAAAACCACGAGAACATGCAAACTCCACGCAGAAATGCCAACTGCCCCAGCGGGGAATTGACCAGTGATCTGGCTGTGAAGCGACAGTGCTAACCACGGAGCCACCATGTCACCTTATCTATACTGTTTACTAAAGTTAATAATAAATAGTAATGTTAAATGGTTGCTTTAATTTCTGCTGAACACCAAAGAAGATATTTTTTAGAATTTTGATTAAACAGAAAAAATGTAGACTAAAGAGACATTAAACTAACAATATCCATGCTGAGTTTAATATATAATCAAAAATAAACTTGATTTGGTGGCACGATGGTTCAGTAGTTAGCACTGTCTCCTCACAGCAAGAAGGTCAATTGTTCAAGTCCCAGCTGAGTAAGTTAATTCTACATACAAGTTAATTTATACTAATATTTCAGGGAAATGGTTACTTGCAGCAGATTTTAAATATGCTTTAAGTATCTCTCAGGGGCAGCCGGTGGTGCAGTGGTAAGCGCTGTCATCTCACAGCAAGAAGGTCGCTAGTTCGAGCCTCAGCTGGGCCAGTTAGCATTTCCTTGTGGAGTTTGCATATTCTCCCGGTGTTCAAGTGGGTTTCCTCTGGGTGCTCCGGTTTCCCCCACATGTCCAGAGACATGCGCAATAAATTGGGAAGGCTACATTGTTCGGAGTGTATGTGTGTGAATGAGAGTGTACAGGTGTTTCCCAGAGATGGCTTGTAGCTGGAAGGGCATCTGCGGCGTAAAAACATGCTGGATAACCTGGTGGTTCATTCCCCTGTGGTGACCCCTGATTAATAAAAAGACTAAGCCGAAAAAAAGATAGATGAATAAATAAATATTCTCTCAGTAAATATATGAACATATTTACCTGACAGCAATAAATATTTTCTTTTTCTCTGTCTGAAATATTTCGACCACCCAGTTGTGGTTCAATAACAACTTGAAAACTTTCAGATTTAGTTTTTTCTTTTTCATTTTTCTTTTGAGATTGCATTTGTTTGTTTGTTTGTTTTTTCAACAAGTTGTCAAAGTTGAGTTCTCCACTTTAAGATTGTGTGTGACGCTGTCATTGATTTTTCAGCACTCAATAAAAAATGCTTTTTTTTTACTCAACATGAGTTTAGCCTCTGTCTTTCTCCCTTTAAATCTTTCTGCAATTCCTTGCCTACGGCTGTACTGTTTGGAGTCCAGGGGTTTCCAGTTGGTGGTTTACTACAGTGTAAGGCTGACAGCAGTTATCTGATTTCTAAATATTTTTGTGAGGAGAATAAAATGCTCAATAAACGTACAATATTAAGTTAACGTGAAGGTCAACTAAATATTAATTTCCCTTCTACATTTCAAATAAGTAAAATGTGCATTTGTGTTTGAAATTGATTAAAAGTTTTACTTTGTGGGTAAAATGTCAATAAAAACATTCATATTCCAATCATTATTAGACACAGTATGCAACGTTTCAGATAGTTTTGTACAGTTTCCATAAGACACATTCTTAATTCACTCAGAACTCAACCGCACACAAATTACTGTACAAACTGCAAACTCAAATACTTTTTTCTTATTTATTCATTTATTTTATTTTCTACTTAGTCCCTTTATTAATCTGGATACTTTAAAATCTCAAACTGGTGTAGAACAAGGCAAAGAGGAGTGAAAGGTGACAGAATTGCAATTTTAGGGTGGGGGGATGCCTATAATCTTTTAAAAAAAATGTTTGCAAACAGGTGAAATGTGTTAAAAGATAAGTAAAGTGACCTTGTTTTAATAAATGGTTTGGTAAATTAAGGGGAAATGCTACAAGGAGTGAATAAACTATCAGTTAATGTTCAATTGTAGTATAACTGAGGTGCAAATGAAGGCTGCAGTGTACTCTTTGTTTACATTTATTAGGCCAATTTAGTCCCATTTTTTTCTGAAATAGTACGCTTTTAATCTACTATTACACTTATTGTAGTATGTAGTATGTTCAAATATACTTAAAACTTACCTAAGACTACATGGACGTTCATTCACAGCAAAAAGGCGGAGTAAACTCTCAAGCACCTCCCACGAACAGTTCAGGACTAATCGCTAGACAACCACTCAGTGTCTCCTAAACTTGAGGAAAACAGACGCTAAAGTTTGAGAAGACTTGAAAAAGTTACAGTAGTCGTTTAATATAATAATCGACATGACATCTGAATCTAAAGCAGCACGGAGGTCGACGTTTTCGCGTTGACGTGCACGCGTAGTTACAAATGGACAGGACGCGCAGGTTCATTTTTGCAATAATCTCAGGTAAGATTCAATCATTGTTTTGTATTCAACGCCTTTTCCTGTGTTTTGTTCGCCTGCAAAACAGATAGAGCGCATTTTACAACACCAGAGACAGCAGTAGTACCAGTTTGCCATGTTTTCAGTCTTTCAACAGCTCTCTTTATTAATTTGCTTGCATTTGTGAATGTACTTGTGACATAAAGAGTGGGCGCGACTCTCTTTCTCTTTTACTGCTATTTTTAGCACTGGGATCTTGATGTGTGTTATTGTACACCATGTGTGTTCAGTTTCTATCAGAAATACTTTAAAATTTATACTTTTAAGTAAAAAAACTATACTTCTAGCTAAAAACTAGGCCAGGTTAGTCCGTACCAGCCTACTGAAATAGTACACTTCAATGCATACTACTAGTACATTGATTTCAGTATGTTTTCTACGTAAAGTGTTTAAATAATACCAGTATATAAGGTCTTATCTACTATTATGGAAGTCTTCTATTTTTAGCACTGGAATTCAGTTTTAGGAGACATTCTATTGGTTAATATCAGTGGGAGGGTTTTTAAAGTGTAACCACAATCAAAAGGCCTTCATGATCCAGTATAGCATTTGCCTGGAATCCTGCAAGGCAGTCTAAAGCCACATACATGCATGCATGGTGCCACCTGTGATTTGTTTGTTGTCTATCCTCAGCTGTTGTCCTATGCAAACACTCCCAGGCTGAATGGAATGCCACAAAAGCCCCAGCGAATAGGACTGTGTCCTGCGAGCACCATGCAAACAGCAGCAACTGCACAGGTAAATGTCAAAATCGCCCCTACATGTGCTTCTCAAAAATAGTTAATCATGCCTGCAATGTTTTTCTGCTTTTTCAAAGATGCAAAAAGCATATTTTCTAAAGCTGTGGTGAGTCTGACTACCACTGACTTTGAAGACGTGAGATGTAACACGGTCTTTCCCCCTGTTGTGTTGTAAAAAATGGGTTTCCCCTGGGCATGACATGAAAGGTTGGATAGCGTGACCACCTGCTGAAGAGATAAATAGGATATTAAAATAAAAAAATCCTTTTGAAAGCTTGAAGTTTTGCTGTTTGAGTTATTTGATCACTAGGGGAAAAAAAATCTTTCAAATTCAATTGCTTATCATGCAGGGCGTTGTAATCTATTCACAAAGAAAAAGTGCACTCTTATGGTAATAATTCAGCTTCTTGGTAACTTTCAAACTCTTTTAAAATTTTTTTATTTAATTTTATTTGCTTTCAAGCTCGAGTTTAGCATGTCTGTATAGCAGGTAAATCCCCTATGACTGAGTCAGATCATGTTGCGTGTGGCCAGAGGTGGTAATTAGATGCTTTCCCATTCAACTTTTAGTTCATTCTGAAGTCACAGCTCAGGTTTCAGTGTTTGTAGAACATTCTGACACAATCCTTTGAACAGCGCTTGGCCTTAACAATTTGCTTTTTTTAGTGACATAATATTGTGAATGAGTTATACAAGGTGTCCGTGGGTTCTTAAAAAGTACTAAAAGTTGATTAATCAACTTAGAGAAATTTAAGGCCCTTAAAAAGTATTAAAAAGTCTTAAATGCTGTTTTGCAATTTTATATCATTTTTGATTCTGCAATGTATGCTAAAGTTTGCCTAAATTAAATCTGAGAATATCTTAATGCTGTGTAGTTTATAAAATCAATAAACTCCTGCTAAATTTGAAATCATCCTGCTTTGTTTACTGTAGAAACCAAGGCAACACCATTATTTCTGCAGTTCTATAGGCGCCAACCTGCTGAAATAGCTAGATATAATAGATTTTTATTTAGTATGTGAATCATGTTTTAGTTTTGGATTAATTTCTTACAATGATATTTAGTAAATATACTGCAAGTTAAAATATTGCTAGTGTTTCTGGTTAAAATCTAAAGTGATTATGAGGTCTTCAAAGTTATGGAAAAAGACTCTGATTAACTAGTTGAACTGTGGTTACATTGCTATGGGTTTAAGAGATGCTCAATACCATATAATGCAATATAATGTTAGCTTATTCAGTAATATTTCAATTTATCAGTTGGGGGACTTTTTGAATACTTAATTTGTATGCTCACTTCTGCTAGTTTAACTGTTTGCAGTCATTTAGTGCTCATTTAGAGTTAATATTTTAAAATAACTTATTTATTTATTTTTGTAACAATCATGAACAAAAATTATAATTACTCGTTTAGATGAAGTCTATTGTTGACACTGTTTAAAGTTAGTAATTAAACATCTTTGGCGAGTTTTAAAATAAGAGGGGAAGGCAGAATCACATTTTTAAAATGATCATAATGACTTGGTCCTTTTCTATTCACCTTATTCTTCACGTACGAGTGTGCACAGCCGTTTGAATCTTTTTGGCTCGAGACTTCCGGTTCACTTCCATTCATTTTTTTGAAAACAGCTTGATGTTGCAAACTGACATTTTCTTATTATATGATTCTGCTTTGTCTGTATTATCATGCAAACACTTGTTTGTAGAGCAAGTAATTGGACTGTTTTCTGACGTTTATTTTTCCTAATGAATTCTTCCATAGGCAGCTAAATCGAAAGTTCTAAAACAATTGCAAAAACGAGCACACTTCCACATTGAAAAAAAAAAGTCAATATGCTATTAAGGCAATTTATTCATGGAAATATAAGGGACATTCTACTAGAAACATACATTTTCCTTATAACATTTGACAGGGTCTGACCTTTAAGCTTGTTATCCTCAAAACAAATCATACAAAAACAAGCATAAAATCATACAATTCAATAATAGAACGCATCCTTGAACACTGTCTGCTTCTTCTCCGTCAAGTGAGTCATAACCTCAAAGGTGTATTGCACACATTTTATGTTAAATTGAATCCAATTGTGACTGGACTGACAAGGGGACAATTGTAAAATAGTATTTATTTGTAGAATTTATTTATAATTTCATGTTTTTAATAAATTGATTTAATTGATTGAATAACAACTTAAGCTCTCAAAGTTTTTTTCTAAATTTACAGAACAACTCACAGAAATCAACCATTAGTCAATTTTAGACTTTTTTTTTTTTTAGGATGAAATACTTTTTATTCACTGTCTTTGTTTTTATTTCAGGGAGAGATAATGTACTTTTCTGGTAGAATGTCCCATAACTCATAAAATCCTTAATAAATCAATATAAACACTTGGATATGTTTAACTTGGGGTCAAGTTTACATAAAAAGTTACATGAAGTGATTTTTTGTTCATAATTTTTTTACTCCTGCCTGTTTAAGAATAAAATTCACAGTAATAAATCTTTAATATAATCTTTAGCCAATGTTTTCTTTTATTTAAATGGCAAAAAAGATTAAATCATTTAAATAATGAGGTCAAAGTCGAGACCTGTTTTGGTATCCAAAACAAATAGAATTCACAAAAATTATATTATTATATCACAATTTAAATGCAAGTATCTACTTTTGTTGCGTTTTAAATGGCTTTTGTGAAAACAAAATGTTAAAATATTAAATATTTATTTTTTACTTTTGACCTGCACCCATAAAATTTATATAAAAGGATAGATGATGATAAGTTTTATAATATAGTTAATTATGAAAAAGCCATAAATTACCTTAAACTAGTAGTTTGAAAGACTGTGGAAGTGTAAAGTTTAATTATGCTTAAGATTAATAATTGGAGCTGCCCTGTTAATTTTTTAATGACAAAAAATTCTCAAATAAATAAAATTGCACTGCAAATATGAAAAGTATGTATTGCACTTTTGTTTTGTTGCATAATTTTTTTTTTAATTATCTTTGACCTTTCTACAGATTCAAAAGATGAGCAGAAATGGAGTGGACACTTCTCTGCCTGTCCAAAAGAATACAAGCATTTCTGCATTCATGGTGTTTGCCGTTTCATAGAGGAGCAGAACACGCCGTCATGCAGGTGAGACTTTGACCAGTCCAGCAGCCGACCAATTACAGCTCAAGAAAATGCTGAATAATTGTACTGTGTTTACATTTGCACAGATGCGAAAAAGGATATATTGGATCAAGGTGTGAATATCTTGATATTGATTTCCATGTCGGAGAGCGGAGGAAAATAGTCATTGCGTGTGTGGTCGCAGGATTGGTGTTTCTGATTCTGCTCATCGTTTTCATTTGCGTCTGTACACAGTGAGTAGATGCATAATTCTAAAGCATTTTCTTCCTACCTGCTGAAGTCTTTTAATTGTATTGTTCTTTGTGTTTTGTTTGACAGTAAACGATATAGACCATGTAGAAAAAAGAAGAGAAAGAAGCAAACAATTGATGAAGATGACAAGCACACTCCGCTAAACGCACATGAAGGGGTTCCAGCTGACACATCCAACACAAATGCTGTATGAAGTGAGTTTCTTCTCCTGCTTCATTCAATTTACATGAACGGCGTGGTGTGTTAAGGCTAATTACTGTTCAGATCATGTAAACAAGGGGTTCTCAAATGCTTACAGGATTTTACATCAGATATCAGGTTGCAACGTAATACCTAGACAAAATCATACAAAATAAAACATAAAGCACTTTGAATCAATTCAGAGATTAATTAGTGGTTTCTAAATGTTTTGAGATAATATTTAGTTTTTTAAAAAACATACAATGCAAATTATTTCTTTTTATTATTGTTATAACATACAAATGATTAGTTTTATTACTATTATTATTATTATTAACCTACTAAATATTACTCTTACAACATACAAATTATTATTAACATACAAATTATTATTATTACAACATACAATGCAGCTATCAGAGCTTGCGCAAATGATTATAAAAGCCAGGACACACGCAGCTGACAGTCTGCTGTTGGGCTTTGTCGGTCAGTGATGGTCCAGCTAGTTGGTTTGATGTGTTCCACTCATCAAATTAATGTCAGTTCATTGGCCCAATCCACCATGTCGAATCAGTGTCAGCTGAAGAGATTATTCAGTAACGAATCAGAGCGTGAGTGTGAAGTAGTGAAGTGACATAGTAAGTAAACAATTTCACATTTTGTAATTTCTTAAAATTTCTCAAATATTTGCAAACAATATCGATTATTAGATTATCAGACAATCAGGGAATCTTCTGTCCATGTCATATCCGTTTTTAAACAAAAAAAGGTAGCCTTTTTTGTTTTTTCTTTTGCTCGCAGAAAATTAAAAAAAGAGCGACGTCATGAGCTCAGATTTGGTTTACCAATCAGAGGAAAAGGGCAGTTTCAGCACGCCTACATGTGCAAAATTAATTTTAAAGGCTTTTATCGGTTTTTCTACCCTATAACAAAAATCAAGCCAAAATCTCGTTTTTTCAGTTTTTGTGAGCAAAAGAAAAAAAATTTTAAAAAAGACTGTTTTCTTAGTTTTCCTTTTTTGTTTGGAAACGGATATGGAATGGATTGAAGATACCCTGATTGCAGGAGTGAATCCCTCTGTGGTAAGTTATTGGTACTAAACACTGCTTTGTTTACACTTTGCATGTGGAAGTTTTAGTTTCCCGTTGTGAACAGAATACTGGCACAGAATGTACATTCTTGAATCACTCAGCCACCATCCGTTTAGTGTGTTCATGAGCAGCTTTTGGTCTTGGCACAAGCAGATGTGAAGCGACAACACAGTTGGATTTCATCTGCACTATATGTATATATGTATGCATTGGCTTTGTGTGTCCCAGCTTTAACAAGTCATTTCCTCAAACAAACAGCATGACTAGTGCAGTCCAGTTCTTCATCAAATTGCTATTATTAAGCAACTATTGACTTTTGATAACTTGCTGCTAAAATAAATTTTCTACAAAAGTTATAAGATACTTTTACATATAGGCCTATGAAAATCATTAAATCAGTGAGTGGCTGAATCATTAGCTGGGATTCCATTCTAACATATAGTGAATCTGCATGAATGAAGTGCAAATTAGGAGTGGCTGACTGTAGTAATGGTAACCTATTAACCAACAGTAAACAAAGCAACTATAATGGGGTCACGTGAGTATAATGTTTGCTATGTCAGTTTATTCTACAAATGTGTTTCTATCTCTTATCATTCGCATTTTTATTTCTTGCAAAGAAAAGGTCCAAAACAACCCCAAGCAAGTGTAAAAAAGAAAAAAAAGGTATCACTTTCTATGAAGCTCATTCTTCTAATTATTTATAACTCAATTATAAATTCTATATCTTATACAATCTTATAAAGTTATAATTAATTATAAGCATGAGCGTTATAGAAAGTGAATATTTCTTTATAGAAATTGTGAATTAAAATAAATTGATACTTCATAATGTGCATAAACACAACTACCGATTTACAAATAATGACCGTGTTGCTTTGAGACATGCAGTGATCCTGCGTTGGATTAGTTTCATAGGCGAAATGGAGCAAAACCTGACAATATGAGCGAGTCTAAACTAGAAATGACAAGTAACCTAATTCTAACTTCCTGTTCACTGACATCAATGCCATTTTATAATGGGCTGATATTTGGGAACAGCACTCTTGTAGTGTTATTTTTAACTAGCTTTCCTTTATGCATATTTAAAACAAAATGAACACAGAAACATTTTGTGGCTCATTTACTCTCCCTTATAGTAAACTGCATGATGTTATGAACATTTCATTTTTAATGACTTTTTAAAAAAAAAAGTGTTCAGGTCCATTCACTCCTAGAGCAGTGACTATATATTACTATAACGATACAGTTAAAGTCAGAATTATTAGCCCCCCTTTGAATTTTTTTCTTTTTTAAATATTTCCCAAATTATGTTGAACTGAGCAAGGAAATTTTCACAGTATGTATTATTTGTTTTATTTCAGCTAAAATAAAAGCAGTTTTACATTAGAAAAACAAACATTTTAAGGTCAAAATTATAAGCCGATAATTTTTCCGATAATTTACAGAAGAAACCATCGTTATAGAATAACTTAATTACCCTATCCTGTGTCTAGGTCCAGCCAGTTGGTCCAATGACGGTGTCCACTGGTGGTGGAGGGTTCACTGCATGTTCGGTTTTTACATTGCAGAATGTTGATTTACTTTAAACTTAACTCATGTCTGACTCTAATTTTAGTATGAGGTGGTTTAGAATATTGATATATTTATCCTCGTTTTATCTTACTCCAATTATAAAACATTGATAAGATGATTCTGTTTGCTTTAACATTATTTTAGATTATGATTGAATATTCTCTTCGGTTCATTATTTTATGTTATTCTCATTCATTCGGATTTCTATAATATCCTGAGTCTTGTACCGGCAGAGTATACAATCTCTTAAGCGCAAGCATGTCAGTCTTGGTCACTAAACAGTGGTGAATGACCGCTATCCTAAAAAGGCAGAACCCTACTTACTCAGATTAGGATATTTTTTATGCGGTCCCCATAGAGCTGCTACCTCCTAAATCAAACAGAGCTATTTAGTCATATAATGATCATTACTATAGAACTAAGCGGACCAGTCGTATTTAAACTATAAGTACATTTTAGTAATCACTATACTATCCAAATAGTATCATAAGTTTAACAGATGAAGGTCTATCCCCTTAGATAACCTTTTAAAGTATACATGAATTAATGCCAGTGTGTTAGTCAGATCTCTAAAAACATTGTATAACGTGCCACGCTGCTCCGTCTATCGTGTTTTAGTCCGTTATTAACCTGTACAAGGGCTTGTATTGCTATGGACTTAACGTAATCTACTAGAGATAATAACACCAACTCTGTTTGAATAATTTAAAACATAACAATTTATTAGCCAGGCAAATGTGTATTACGCCAATTCATTCAGTCAATTCATAAACGATCAATACAAAACATCAAATTCTCAAAGATAAATCCAAGATTAAAAGATGCACACCTGACTTCAAAATATACATAACATAGAGCGTAACTTCAGATACCTGAAGTTATATATTTATTATTTTGATTATGTCTATTTCTGAGGAAATGAGATCATTGTACCAGTCGCACTGAGACATTTCAAATGATATCAAACATGATGGATAAAGTCACTTGGGCTGATATATAACTTTCAGACTTTGAAATGACCATACTGTGTGAGTTGGGGTGGTTGAACAAACGGATTTTAATTGTAAATGGAGGGGGAGCTGGTTCTTTCCCGCATTCCTGCCTGCTGGGTTGTGGAGTCAATTGTCTCTGTTTTCGGCTCATGTTTAAATTGTCAAAGACATCAAAATATTTCTGATATCACAAATCTTACACCTGCATAGTAAAATCTAATTAATATGTATATGTTAGTGTGCCCCAAAACAATGCTAAAATTCGCATTTAGAACATATATAAATGTATACTACAATGAAAAGCTTGTAGTTTGTCATTTCCGCCTAAATTGATCAATGTTTTATTTCTATCACCTCATACTACAGTTTCGAATCACATAACCAATCAAATGCTCTTTAATATCTGACATGCCCCTCCCACTTCCAGACTCTTATCATTTGCTTTTAATTTGATGCACTTGAGCTCAACCACTCTCACTGGCAGAGCACTGATTAAACAAAACACTATTGGCTGTTTTTTTTTTTTTTAAAGAGGAAAAGCTACACTGTCCCACCCTCACATCGTGTTTTGGTTGAGATTACATCAAACATAGAACAAAATTTTGTGTACATATCATTTTCTATCTGTTTATATCTTATATATCTTAATGTAGTTTTCTTATATCTGGAAGGTCATTAAAACTTTGCTAAAACACCAAAACTGTTGAGGGGACCCAAACTTTGACACTATATATATATATAGTAGACTCAGCTGTCATACACTATGTAGGGATTAGTGAATAAGTGAACAGTTTTGGACACAGCTGCAGTGTTCAAGATCACTTAAGCTACAGGGAGATGTGTTTGATTAGGGTTGAAGCTAAACTGCAGCATGACCTTGCCTGTTCTAGATGGATTCTGATTGGCTGTCAATGTTTTCAACACTCTTCAGATGGAGAAAAACTAACTCTAGGAATGATTTGAACAACATATTTACTCCATTTCATTATTTTCACATAGTGTAGATTCTCCTATTTCTTAAATTTCATAATGATTTAATGATTGTCCTTGGTGTGAATGGACAGTTAACGCCAGTTTCCTTCCTGTTTTTCTTTTAGTTTTCCTCACACACCTTCAGAAACACTTGTCTTGGTTCTTAAAAGCTTATTCATTATCAAATGAAATACTTGCTTCCTTCAGGAAATGATCCGCACTCAAGGTCTATAAAACAAGAGCCTTTCCACAGCCGTACAAGGACATTAACATCCTTACTGAGTTGACGGTAAAAGCCTTTTCGAAGTACACAGCGAGCTCTATAAAGAGAAGTATGGAAACAATAAGCAAAGCGTCTGTTTGACATGTGCGGCTGTTGTGATGCTGTTCAGACCTTGGTTGCCAGGCAGTCAGATCAACTGTTAGCTCAAATAGATGGCTCTAATTGTCTTTTTGTTTCAGCGATACAGTGAAGTGATCCTGCCTGGCTTGGTAATGGCCTGGAAATGAGGACTTCTTCTGGAGAGTGATGAAAGCAGAGATTTACTGTAATCCTGAGTGGACTTTCAATGAACTCGGGTGATATGGTGTGTCAGGCAACCTTTGCCATCCCCTCTGCTACTGTTTACCTCATTCTTCATGCCACTTTATTCATGCTTTCCAGTAGAAAAGGATCTCACTGCTTCACGATGGCTTTAAATGTGAAAGCGTATCATTATTGAAAAAATATGAGGAGGTGGTGTGCAATATGCTGAATACAAACAAAGTCTGTCTTAGTTGGTTGAGATGTGTTTATTTTGCATATGAAACACAGGTTATGAAACAAAGTTACAGTACGTTAGATTTGGTGAGGTTGAATAATTAGTCATGTTTCTAGTTTTAACAGTTTTTGAAAGTAGTTCTTCCGACAATACTGGACCAAAATCTCCTCTTAAGTTTGATTTATTTATTAGCATGTGTAAAGATTTTTTTTTGTGTGTGTTGAACTATATTTTTATTAAATAAATAAAAAACTAAAGTCTGTTAATGTGACAATATATACATGTTTTTGTCTTCATAAAGAGTTTTTATCGAGCAAGAAGTATTAGCTAGGTTTTCAGTCTTATATTTGGTCATTATCAAAAATAGCTAGTTTCAAGAATAAAGGGAATTTATTTGTGTTTTGTTAAGCATTGTTTGGAAATATTGTATTTGTTGTTGTTGAGTTGCACTTACCATTCATTGTTAAATCTAAAATTTTCAAATGCAAAGCTTTATTACTTTATACTATAACATGTCTTAATAAATAAATGTTTATTATCAATGACAGTATTTCAATGTTTTAAATCAAAATTGTAACAGTTTTTCAAAACTAAGAATTTTCTCTACACAACCACAAAACACAGCAACAACAAGCAAAACGTCACACACATCTTGCAAAAGCAAACACATCTTACATAGAAGCTCGACAAAAAAAAAAAAAAAATAACTACCCCTTCAATTCTTTTGAAAATAGGCATTTTACAATTCCCCTAGAGATAAACAGTTGAGTTTTAGCATCTTTAAAAATCCAATCTCTAGGTCCAGCGTGAGCACTTTCATACGCTGGCCGAAAGAGTTAAACATGCTGCAATTTAGGAAAATGCATGCAATTACAAATAATACCAGAAAATTAAGAAAAGATTTTCATTTGTTTGACAGCACACGTGCTGCAAATCCTTACAACGCACAGACATTAAAAAATGTGCTACATTTTCACACACAAACAATTATTGTTAATAAAATGCACTCCATTTTCTCACAATGGAAACATTTTACAAAAGCGTCCTTATTTTCACACAGCACAAAAAGATCAGAGCACAATAGAAATGTTTCAAGGAGACCCAAAAATGTGACCGACTCCGTTGTGAAGTTGTAGGTGATCGCTGAAAGGTAATTTTTTAGTTTGTTTATTTTAATATCCCGTTTCCTGTGTCTTTAGTATTTTATTAGCCTAAATAATCACAACTTAAATAGCCGGGTCAATCATGTTTTAGGGTCTCCTTAAAACATTTCCGTTGTGTTGTGAGAAAATGTTGGTGTTGTGAGAAAATGCAGTGTATTTTTTTTTTTAAATGTGAATGTGTTGTGAGGATGTCCAGCAGGTGTGCTGTCAAACTGATGAGGATATTTTCTCAGTTTGCTGGCATTTTTGTAATTGCACATGTTTTCTTAAATTGCAACATGTTAAGCACTCGTGGCCACTGTACTTTTAGCTTAGTTTAGCATACATTATTAGTTGTCCTAAATGGTACAATATGCACTTACACGCTCAAAGATGCTAATGGTCTAATCCAATTCAATTATCTGTGCTACGCTAAAAATGCTCTCACAAGACCCAGAGATTGGTTGAGTGGATTCCCAACTCTAGTTTAACTCTAGACTAAACAGTAAACATAGTGTTTTCATTATATTTCACTAAAAGATAAGCAGTACCAGACAAAACAAATACATTTAAATAATGTAAACAAACAGACTTGATACTGTGAAATAATAATAATAATAATAAATAAAACTGTAGTGTTGTGTCCATCGCTGGTGCCACGGGCCATCACTTAGAGAAGGGGTTTGTGTTGGAGGTTCTGATGTCTGTGGGTAATTCTGTAACTACGGGCTCTTTTATACCCTTTAATCATATATTCAAAAATAAATATATAATTTTGTTCAAATTCCTCTTTCTTTGTCAAACTAATAATAAAAATTACTTTTAAAAAAATGTCCTAGCTTTCTGTTAAATATTTTTTTCATACTATTCAACCTCCTTTTAGGTGTCAAAATCACTGTTTTTGCCCTGTCGCACACCCAGAGTTTGAAACTTCAACAAGAAAATAACATTTTAAAACAATATTTTTCTGGTAACTATTATGTAGCCTAATGAAGTACTAGTGTAATAAGTTAAATGCTTTATAGTTTTTAATGTGAGACTATTATCAATATTAACTGTTATACTTCAAGAGTTCACACTTAGCTGATGATTTATTATAAAGCATGCTGTCCCAAGAGAGAGGCCTGAGCTCATAAGATCCCCGAGCCAGGGGCTCCCTCCCGCTTCAAGGCGAGAGAGGAGTTCTCGAGATCTACCTGAGCTCAAACTTCCGTCATAGTGGCTGAAGAGCAGATAGTATTTGCTCTTTTGAAGGGATAAGTACTTAGGAGTATGTCTATGGTGTTGATTTAGATTAGTCAATAAACTTAAGTTGCATGTTTTTGGACGGTGGGAGGAAACCAGGGAACCTGGAGGAAACTAACGTGAGCACAGGGAGAATGTGTAAACTCCGCACAGAAACATTGGCTGGCTTGGTAAAGACTTGAATTAAAAATGTTCTTGCTGTGAGGCAACAGTGCTAAGCACTGGGCCACCGTGCCACTCATCTAGGAAAGAGTAGGGGTGGAAGGGGATATTCTTCAAAACGAAGATAGCTGTGATACGTAACAGGGTATTTATAGTAGCTTATGAATCGTCTGATTGGTGCATTGTAAATTGAATAATGTGGGTCCAGCTGCAAGCAACCATAAGCACGTTATCTTCTCGAAATTAGTTTATTATAAATAAACTTCACAAAAAATAGCTATGGCACAGTAACTGTCATTTTCACCACAACACTGTAATGTTTCTTTAAAAGGTTTGTGAGAAAATATTGTTTAGGTGGTTTCTATATGAAAAGGAATAGTGACATCAGAGAACATGGTCAAGATAGAGGGAATTAAATTTTCATCAACAACACATAAAGATAAAATACTGCTTGAGAAGGTAATATATTTATTCTACTATGTTAGCATTTTTGTTCGGTAAACAAGGTAAATGTGACACACAAACCCTTCATTTCTTCACACCTATGTGGAAAATGTCTATGTTGTGTGCAGTGGCACTTAGCTGGAATAAACTTGCTAACAAAGAAATGTTCAATCTCCTTTATTGTTTGTGTTGTGCTGTGGTTACAAACATCCATTCTATGGGATTATTTAACCGTTATGGTTATAGATAAAGCTTTGAAGAACCGCCTTGTCTTTTATTACATCCAGGTTTGGTCTTAGTCTGCGCTTATGCCAATAGAAACTGGCCTCATGTTTCAGCGCAGCCATAAATAGCTCGGTTTGGAGAGACCCGGAGAACGACAGGAATCCTGTGCCTCAGTTGGTGGGATCTTGTGAAGCAGATGTTTTCCTATGATATTTATCAGAGCGGTGTCAAATGTTTCATCAGAACATCACTTACTGTATCAAGCTTGATTTTTTTTTTTCTGAGCTCTTCATATTTTTAAAAGCTTTAGAGGATTTAAAAGATCTTATGAAGATCTGAGGCCCTTTTAAACTTCTGTTCCAACAAGTATGTCTATAAAAAATATGTCTTGTGGGGAATGTCTTATTGAACAGTTTCCTTGAACTAAAACAGCAGGAAATGAAAGTACAAGGTGTGTCTGAAAGAGTTTGAAATGGTTAACTGATACAACACGCTTTCAGCAGGAGATGAAAGTGTCACTCTGATCTCTCCACTTTTTTTCCCCTTTAATAAGGATGTACAAGATCGCAATTTGCTTCAGGAATGCTGTTCATGGGTTATGTGAACTGGTTTTATAATTATTTTCTGATGCTCTTTGTCATTTTGGAGATTGACGGTCCATATTCTTGTTCAGTTTCATGTCAAACACTAGAATAAAGCTGTTCATTCATATATATATATATATATATATATATATATATATATATACCCCTTCAGTCTTTCTATATCAGATTTAATTCAATGGTACTTGATGAGTATTTACACCAATCTATATCAGACTTGAAATTCTTTTGGCAATGAATAGAAGATCTTTAGGATTAACTTTTTGGAAAGGGGAAAGAAAAGGGGATCAATACAGAACCTGTTTTACTTCAATTTTCCATTCATTTTATTTTACAGTATAGGTTTCGTCATCTTAGAATTGCAAGGTTCTATATGACTTTTTTGTCAGATAGAAAAACAAAGTTTTCCACATTTGACAATTCTGTTTTGTGTTTATATACAGTTTTGAATTGTGCTTATATAGTTTCTTAGGCAACTTTTTATGTCGAAAAGTTGAACAAAAAGACTTTATTGATATCTATTGTCCAGTTTGATTATGTGAATTATGGAACAGAAACCATAACAATCAAAGTTTTTTTTTTTCATTTGTTGTTTCCATTCCCTGGTGCCACAGGCCATAACTTGAAGAAGAGCTTTGTGTTTGTGGTTGTGATGTTTGTACAGTTTCCAGTGCCATGTTAAAAAAGTCAACAATAAAACAGAAGAATTTTTAGCATCAAAGTATTTGTGTACAGTAATGTAATGTAATGTAATATGTATTTATATAGCGCATTTATTGTGTATGGCCATACACCCAAAGCGCTTCACAATCATGAGGGTGGGTCTCTCCACACCACCACCAGTGTGCAGCATCTACTTGGATGATGCGACAGCTGCCACAGGACAACAGCGCCAGTGCATTCAGTGATAGAGCCAATTCGGTGGAAGGGGATGATTGGGAGGCCATGATCGTAAGGGCCGATAGAGGGACTTTGGCCAGGACACCAGGGTTACAACCCTGCTCTTTCACGAGAAGTGCCATGGGATTTTTAATGACCACAGAGAGTCAGAACCTCGGTTTAACGTCTCATCCGAAAGACGGCGCCCACTGACAGTGTAGTGTCCCCTTCACTTTTACTGGGGCATTAGGACTCACACAGACCACAGGTTGAGTGCCCCCTGCTGGCCTCACTAACACCACTTCCAACAGCAACCTAGTGTTCCCTAGTGGTCTCCCATCCAGGTACTGACCAGGCTCAGCTTCAGTGGGTAACCGGTCTTGGGGTGCAGGGTGATATGGCTGTGGCGTAACATACAGTTTAAGGAACTACATTACTAACATTAATAACTTTTCAAAAAGAGTTCAAAGCACATAATCTGCTTCTAGCTCTGCATATTTGGTCTAAAACTCAAGTATGTATGTGTCTAAACATTTTATGGTACAAAAACCATAGAAATCAGTGTTTTTTTACAGAACATTTTTTTCTAGCCATGAAATTTTTCTTTGTGTAAATGGAACTTTCCCATTTTGAAAATGTTCTTAGAACGTAGTTTTTTAATTAGTATTATTTATTAAGTGTTTAAGAACCTATACCTAGTGACCTGGAAATGCACTCAATTTAAAAGAATCTAAAGAGAAATTTCGCAGAACATTCTCAAAATTATCGATAACACAGGGTTATCATGGCCTAATGGTAAGCTAGACTTGCAATCCAAAGGTTGCAGGTTCAACTGCAGGGATTGTA